TGATTTTGTTTTGGAAAAAGCCAGAAATCTTGTGGCACCAAAACTGGGCTGTAGAGGGGGCTGAATCACCTGGATAATTTAATGTTTCACACACAAAAAATCTGCATGACAGGTGATGCATGACTATGCACATTGTCGTGATGAAGCTGCTGATCAACAGTTGCCCATAGATAAGGCCACATTTATCACATTGCATCTCTCAACCGTTGAAGAACATTGAGGCAGTACTCCTTATTCATTGTTTGACAAAGAGAGGCATACTCATGATGTATAATACCTTCCTAATCAAAAAAACACAGTTAACATTGTGATCTTGGTGTGACTTTGCTATGCATTCTTCAGGCAAGGAGAGTCAGACAACTTCCACTGGAAGGACTGGGCCATCGTTTCTGGATCGTCGTTGTAGACCCACGATTCAGCTCCAGTTATGACCTTCTGGAGGAAATCTGGTTCATTGGTAGCAGTTTGAATTGAGTCATTAGTAACTACAGCACCACATTCCTTCTGCTCTGGTAGCAGAAGCCACAGGATGAATTTCACCATAACATGTATTATGCCAAGATCCTGCATCAAAATCTCAGACACAGTAGTTTTTGGAATCCCCAGATCAGCTTCTAGTTCTCACACTGTCAGTTACTGATCTTTGTTGATTGCAGCCCATACATGTTCAACAGTCTCAGGTGTTCTGCTTGTTGCAGGCCTTCCAGAATGTAGATAATTTTCAACAGACTCTCAACCATCTTTGAAGCATTTGTGCCACCTTTTATCTGTGCTGAACTCATTACTTCATCACAGAAAGCCTTCCGAATCATACAAAGTGTTTTCATGAAGGATTGTTCAAGCTTAATGCAAAATTTGATGCAGATTCATTGCTCCGCTCACTCAGTAATTTTGAACGTAATGGTCACACAGTACATATGCTCACTCACTTAACATTGTTCACCGCCCTCCACTGACTAATACAGTGAAGTTGTCATTATTCACACATGTGCTTTGCAGTCTACTCTCCTTGGCTGCCAGGTTATATCAATGTCATGAAAACCAATCTCATTATATTAACAATGGCTGGACTTTTTCTGGACAGACCTACCTCATATATGAATATAGATAGTGTGGCCCCCACTTTCAGAGGAACCTAGGATCTAGAATCAATTGCATAAAATCATTGCATCATGATTATAAATACTGCTAGTAAGTGTTGTAAGAGTGCATAATGGAAGGTTCTAGGCTACTGTGATAGGGAGGTTGGGGACACAGGGAATGCTTTCTTGACAAACATATAAACTAAAGGAGAAATAAGTTGGACAGACTCAGGCACCTGTGTGTGCACATGTGTGTGAGTAGACTGAAGCGATGAGGAGTACCCAGAGATGCAGAAGGCAAAGAGAATGGCATCTTTAAAGACCATTGGCTTGGGTGAAGGAATTAAAAGTCCAGAATGATTGGAATTTAAAAAGTTAGAAATAAGTTGTTCAAGATGAACTGGAGAAATAGGCAGAAGCAAAATAGATGTATATATGTTACATAGGCATCTTAATGATAGAGCAAATAATGTAATATACACTATACATATTTTCATTAGAACAGCTACATTTTTTCACAAGTTTGTTCCTTGAAGATTTCAGTGGTGTTCAAAATTCAATTATTTGAGACATTGCCAGCTAAATTAGGTATTACTATTTTTATAGTATGCGTAACAATCATACGTAAAGCATTTAGTTGGAAATCATGGTAACCCTGTTTTTAAAATGAATAATCTTACAGAACTATGTTAAACTTTTACTTTGCTTTATGGGCCTAGTCGTATCCAAATGCCATATTCTCATTTAAGTATGCAAGATTTGCTCTGGAAGTATGCAAGATTTTTTCAGAACTCTTTTCTGTTTCCTTTACCAATGATAAAAACTCAGGAAATAAGAAGCCTTCAAAAGGCGAGTATCTTTGTTTTTACTTTGATATTATTCTGGACAAACGTTGGGTTCATATCATTGCTTTTCCTTACTATTTTTTCAAGGATATTACTATGGCATGTCAAAAGCTAGCATTTTTATTTCCAAGTGGAAATTACACATGAGGTGTGAAGATCTATGAAAATGAGATCTATGAAAAACTCCATATTAGCAAAGTTCATATAGCTTGTCTCTACTGACCTATAGTCATAAAAACATGATTATAATTTTATTTCCCTTTGTTCTCTGAGTTTCACCATGAAATTTAACTCTAAGTCAAGGATTTGAGTTTTATTACTCCTTGCTGCCTGCCTTGATTCTTTGAAACTCCTCTTGTTTATTTTTAGTCTACTGGTTCATACTAAATTAATATACCATAGTATGACCAAATATTATTAGTTAGGTGGGAAACTAAGTTATTTGGGATTCAATCAAAAGAAGATGTTACACTCTGAGTTTGAATGATCATTCACAGAAAATAAATCATATGTAGCAAAGCTTCCCTTTGTACTTTCTTAAAAAATAGCATTTGAATTATAATTTTATTTTTTGATGATTGTCATTGATGTGAACATCATCCATACAGTGAGTCAACTCATTATTTTGCTTAATAATAAGTGTCCCATTCCACAAAGCAGGTAATCATAGTTACTATTAATAATAGAAGTAGAGAGAAAAGTCTAAATAAGACAGAAGAAAATTGAAGACTTAATATATTCTTTTTGAATAACTTTGCAAAAAAGGACAGAAAGACACATGGATGTATATATATTCATGTATATATATGCATACACACACACAAATAGCTCTCCTACATTTTACTACAAATATAAAAGCACAGAGAAAAAGATAGATCTTCAGAGGAATTGAAAGTAGTCTCAAAAAGATAGAAGAGAGCAAGGCACTGTCAGCCGTGAGATGGGGCAGGGGAGGTGGGGGGACCCCATGACGTGAAGTCCTCCTAAACCTCCTGACAGATTTCACATTTTATCTCCAAAGCGACAGAAAGGGTTAGACAAGTGGCATGATTAGATGCTGACTGGCATATAGAACACGGGTGGAATTTTATGCCAGGAGGATGCAGAGAGCTCTATTAATACACTGAAATAGTAAATGGGCAAGAGGTGACTGGTGGTCTAGATTTGGGTGGTGTCTGAGGGAATCATGATGATGATGGGAACACTTTGGAATGAAAAAACAAAACAATGAGGAGCCACCTAATTATAAAGTCATCAGGCAAGTTATAAATGTGTGAATTGAAGTGAGTGTTGACCAACCAAAAGTCTCTACAGCAAAGGGTATGTGTTTTTGAAAAAAAAAATTTCATGTTGGCTTTTCAAATTATGCACATAAACATGTTTACTACATCAAACATATATAAGCCAAAATCACATATTCACTAATAATCACATTGCCTTAAGATAATCGGTATTAAATTTTAGTATACTTTCCAGATATCTGTGTATGTGAGTACAAACACAAAAAAAACACAAATTCTGCATACTTTTAAAAAATGAAGCTAAGCTTGGAATTTAAGTTATTTGTATCCTTGTTTTTTAATTATTAATATACCAAAATATGTTTCTATAAGATAAAATATTATTTTATAACAGTTTAATACATGCATAATATAGAGAAATATATATAAATATTTTTATTAAACTTTGGTTCTACTTTGATATTTACATTTTAATCAAATACTAATATATAATATATGAAATATTTTTAGCTATATATACAGAGGATAAATTCATAAGGTCTAAATGATAATTCTCTATTTCTCTAAAAGTCTGTGACCAATCAATATAATGATGGGTTTATTGTGATAAGTATAGTGTTTAATGAGACTAGTACAAGAAAGCACTTGCAAATGATTCCAAATATGAGAAAAAATATATAGCTATTACCTTTCTCAGCCAAATGCTCCAGTTTTTTCTGTGGGCATTACTATCACTTGTTTATTTCACCACTGAGTCCTTCTCTGAGCTATTGCGAAAATGTCTTAGCTTAAAATTCTATGTTAGTTAATTTTTATGGAATAAAAGGCTTTTTGCAGTATACACGATTAAGCGCTGAGGTGGCAGCAGAGATTCTAAGTGTTTTAGGTCAAGAATACACTGATCTATTTGCAAGAATTATTCACGGTCAATTTAAACTGTGTTTCTATCAGATAGTTTTTCAGAGAAAGGCAAGGCTCACACTTAGTTTATGTCTATGCATAGGGACCACTGGTTGTGGCTTATATTTGTTCCTTAAGCTCTCATGCCTTCTTTAGAATAGCTTAATATAAAAGCAGATAGTTGAGTATATAAAAACATACATATAATTTTTTCAAATTGTTATGTATTTCAGCATGTTAAGCTTTAAATTGAAGGACACTCAAAGTCACTTTTGTCAAAGCCTTTTCCTATAATAACTCATTTGGATGATGCAAGATATATTCTCTTGTGATTTCCAAGTGATTGATAAACTAATCTGTATGGAATATATGAGAACAATTCAGTCTCTTTGGTTTTCTTAAATGAGATGAATGCAAATTTCTATTTTCCGACTAGGACATAAAGTACGCTAGGCCTATCTTAGAAGCTTCAGTGTGCCAAAGATGGTATTAAGTTTGGTGTTCATAAATTACTAATCTGGAATAAGAGGTTGAATGTATTTTGAAAACTTAAACCTGTTTCACCTGAACATGTTTAACTAGTTAATAAGAAACATCAAAAAGACAAAACCCTGAGATCAATGGTCATTTTTTGTAAAGCTATGATATGCTGTTTAAATTGGTTGTTTGGGTCTGTCTATAACATAAGTTTAATAACCTAGCTCAAATGCAGACTTCTAATTTTCAATTAACATAGGAATAATTTTGTTTGCTAAAATAAAATAAATGAATGAATGACAAGTCTGAAACATGAAATGTTCTAGGTAGAACTTTTTAAAATTCCAAATTTCAAAAAATCATGTGGCAACTGTATAGCTCAAGCTTTAAGTATTAACTTTTAACCTTTGACCTTACAGATTTTAACCAATGAAATGTCTCTTTAAACTTTAAAGGAAACAATGATAACGAGCGCCTGGCGATTGCTAGACAGCGAATTCCATATCGACTTGGTCGAGTAGTTGATGAATGGCTACTCGACAAAGGTAAAAAACATTGATTAAAACTTCAAATAAAAAAATAATTTGAACATAACCAAGTAGTACTTCATTGTAACACTAATAAACATAAAAAATAAATTTTCCGTAAAACTAAATTAAAAACAAATTTAAAACAGTAAAATGTAGATAGTAATATTTGCATACCTTGTATAATAATTTCTCTACATTTTTAGACGTACCAGCTGTTTAATAATCTTACCCTGTTAATTTAAGGTTAAAGGGACTGTTAAATATAATCCACTAAATCTATGAAGGTACTCACAGCAAGCATTAACCCAAAACGATAAATCATTCATAGATTATATTACATGTTCCAGCCTCTAAATTATTAACTAAAATATATGTAGTTCTGATATCTTTGTTATGGTCCTGAAAAAAAAAACAACTCTTGGTTTAAACTGTAGGCATCTTAAATAGTGGGCAATATGGATTGCCGGTCAAAATGAAGTCCCTTTAACGTTTGCAACCTTCTAAGAGCATTTGGGAAAAAGCCCTAATTAAAAGTGAACTTAAAGTTGTGTGCATGCTTTTTATGAGCAGAGAACAATCTGCTAAAACTGGATACTCAGTGTGATGATATTGGGACTGTTGCTGAGGGTTGCTGTTTGATGGAAATGAGCCATAATTTCTCCATTGGTTTGTGTATCATTCCTGAAGCCGCTTTTTACATCTGAAGCTATTTTTTTTCATTCTGTTTTGTTTTGATAGACTTGCTGAAAGCCAATCAGAAAAATATATATCTTTTTTGGAATTTTTTTGTCTCTGACATGCTCAGTATAAACCATGCATTTCTTTTCAGTGTGATTGCCAGAAAAAAATAGAATAATTCAAATAACAATGGACTATTGCCTTCAAAAAATAAACATTTCTAAAGAATAGCATACAGATACCTGTGGCCATTAAGTGAATTATGGAATTTTTACCAAAATTTTAAAATTAGATATCAGCTGCTATAGATTAGTTTCTACCAGTGGTAATTTTAGAAGGACAAATACTTGAAACGTTAGCTATATCACATTTTTTAACTTAACAATTTAGACTTAAGACACCAACAGTATAAGATCTTGAGGAAAAAGGGAAAGGGATCCATGAAAAATTGATTTACAATATGTATCTTTGATTGGTCTTTTAGCAAAAACACTACATTTACACTAAGTTGAGAATTGACAAGTATTTGCCAATGATTATGCATTCCATGGACACCTCATTTATCAGCAATGAATTATGAGTCAAATAGCTCTCTTATAGTTTATTGCTCTCATTATCCACCCCATGAAAGATCTGTTTTATCATCCTTTGTAGAATGTAGAGTTCACAATCAACATTTTTGCATGTATGTAATATTATTTTTACAGGGCGTCAGCTCACAATCTTCAATAGCCAAGCAACCATAATAATTGGCGGGAAAGAGCAGGGCCAGCCCTTCCAGGGCCAGCTCTCTGGGCTTTACTACAATGGCTTGAAAGTTCTGAATATGGCAGCCGAAAATGATGCCAACATCGCCATAGTGGGGAATGTGAGACTGGTTGGTGAAGTGCCTTCCTCTATGACAACTGAGTCGACAGCCACTGCCATGCAGTCAGAGATGTCCACGTCAATCATGGAGACCACCACGACCCTGGCCACTAGCACAGCCAGGAGAGGAAAGCCCCCCACGAAAGAACCCATTAGCCAGGTGAGTGTGAGATTTCATTCCTTCATTTTGGCCCTGTGATTATGAAAGTCGGTTTTTCTTCATAGGTGTTTTTTTTCTCAAGTGTGGTTGTTTCTGATGATCTCAGGCATTATGGCTTCCTTTGAGACTTGCTTGATATAATACAATCAGTTTAACTATGAAGTGTGTATATGCTGGGGCTTGAGATTTGTGGACCGTTATAAATTGCTTTGTGTTGGTTTGATCACTGCTTGGTGATGGTCTTGATTTCAGTAATCTTAGTCTAGCTCAAGCTAAAGGGATTGTTTGCTAATTACATAGGATTTTCACTTTCTAAGTTAAATGAATAAGTAAATTAATGAAGTATATGAAGGCCTTGTTTGTTCACGCTTGCATTCATCAAAATAAAATGAAAGCAAAATTGAGCAGTTGCCTGGAAAACATCTATTGTATTTGGAAGTCTCACAGTTTTGAGTTGGTAGGCATGCGGCTCTGGTGGTGAATGCTAGGTTCACTTTATTGCTGTCTATAAGGAAAATGCAGTTAGTTAATTTGAGGACAAAGACTGAACGTATAGTACTTAAAAACTGACTTGGACTAACATAGTTTGTATGATATGCTGCTAACTGCCCTCACCTAGAATCTATTTTAGTGAGCTTATCGTTCAATCTTATCTCCATAAATTTTGAAAATGAAATATTTAAATGTTGAATTTGTACCATTTGGAACTCTATTAATGCAATCAAGTTATAGTTATTGATTGCCTAACATGTCTCAGGCATTGGTTTAGATATTGGCATTACATCATTGAAGAACAAGAAAAAGAAAACTACCTGCCTCATAGATCTTACATTTGGTGAAAAGCTAGCAGAACATCATTGAAATGTGTTAAATGCGGTTACATCCCTGTCGACATTTGTTGTCTTTGTAGCTATTCCGATCTTAATTTTTTTTCAGAAGTTTGTGTTCTCCTTGGTCCAAAATTGATTATATCCTTTTCTTTTGTCTTTAATAGTATCTTCGGTGAGTGCCACCAAAAGCTTCCCAAATACATTCGTTTTCTAGAAACCCACATTTAAAAAATGCAAAAGTAACAATTACTTTTTAAATTGCTTTTATTTCAAGTGTTTGAAACAGACCAAGTGTCAGAATTAGAGAGTAAAAGAAAGTGAATTCTGTTGTATCAGCACCCTATCTGCTAATTAACATAAGTTTACCAGATAAAGAAGAAAATAGATTCTGATTTTTACTGAGAGGAAGAGGTGGGAGGAACAGAATAATCAAAAGATAGTACATTCTGTAAATTCTTTAAGTGTAATGATGAAAACATGTACCAATCTGTGGCATTCATTCTCTCTCTCTCTTTCTCTCTAAACTCAGCCACAAAGTAAAATAACAGTCTGATGGGATGTTTATCAATATACATTTATTGATCACTCTACATTTGCTGCACACTGTTTCAGCACTGGGGATACATCAGCAAGAACAAACAAAAAAACTCCTGCCCTTATGGAATATACACTTAGTAAGAACTTGTGCTTAGAGTGTAATCATTTTGTTGATTTTCTCTAGCTTGTTTGGGGTTAAAAGACTGTTGATAATCACACTTGGCCCCTTGGATAAAGACTGGTGACTTTAGACAGATTTATATGTGTCTAACAGCTCCATTTGACGTTCTTTTCTAATACTTCACTGGTGATTAGATATGGTGGTTTTTGATTTAATGTTTAACAATAATCAAGTTAAGGTGAATCAGGTACAGAACAAATGAAATACAGAGCAACCGATAGATTATTTTCTTTAAATAAAATCAGAAGAGGACATTCTAGGATAATCAGAATGGAAAATGTTTCCATGAATAAAATTTGCAAGAGCCAGACATTTTTGTTAGGAGTCTTGCCTCATCATTAATGAAGTTACACCGGCCTAAGTTCTTTGGTAAAACAGATCTATCTCCAAGTAAGGAAAATATAATCAGCTTTCTTTTTGTATATTTTACCAATTAGTAACTACTATGTATTAAGAAATTATGTTTTTAAAGAAATATACAAAATAGTTATTTCATTTGCAAGCTAAACACCTATAAATAAAGAAAGAAAAACTTACGGATTTTCCAATATGAATTAATACAGAAAAAGAACAGGTAACTTTCCACTAATTGCCAATTAAGAGGATATCTTTTATTATGAGCTATTACATGTTTAAAAACTGCAGTGGTTTATAGAGATAAATAATGTAATCAATTAGTAATTTCTTGGTTCATTTGAAAGGTTACTGACTTAAATAAAAGATTACTAGGTTCATTTAAAAATAAGTATGTTAGATTTTTATATATATTTTTTGAAACTCAGTGTGTGGTTGCCTCTAGCACACCCCATACTGGGGATATGGCCTGCAACCCAGGCATGTGCCCTGACTGGGAATCAAACTGGTGATGCTTTGTTTCACAGGCCTGTGCTCAATTCACTGAGCTACACCAGCCAGGGCCAGATTTTTAGTTTTTTAACAGACCAAATACAGTGATTATATGATTTTGATTAATGTGTTATAAATATTAAATTATGATGACAGTATCTTAAGTTTGGGCTAGTAGTTTTTAAAATGTTCTTTTTTATAGTGATATGTGATTACAGGCAATGTGTATATGGAGGTGGGGGAAACTCAAAGGAAAGAAAGGAAATTTTATATTTTTAAGTAACAGAATAATTTGTTGCAAATTCTTTACCTCACAATTGATTTTTAAATTGTCCTTCAACTATAGAAATAACTGATACATGTAGAACTTCAAGTATGTGTTTCTTAAAATTGTCGAAATCTTGAAAGTTTAAATGATGTGTAATGCTAATTCCAGGACTGTAACCTTTGACCTGCTTTTGCAGGTTGGATGCAGCATCTTCCTTTAACCATGTTTGTAGTGGCATCTCCGTGTGCTTTTATCAACTGCCTGCCTAAATTGAGTACCAAGAAGGGTCATTTTATTTTTCACAAACCATCCTGGACTGTTTTCTCAATCAGAGTGTATTTTCCTCGGTGATAATACTGAGCCACTTCAGCTGCAATGGCAATGTACCTTGGGGTGATTGCATGTTTTAGAACTATGGAAACAGGTTTTTGGTCAAGCAGAATTAAATTGGATTCATTTCAAATAGACGAGATGAGGTTTGTTCAGCCATCCTGCGGGGCAAGTAGTAGGAGAGAAATGTATTTTCGGTTTTCACAGTCATAGAATATAAAATAGCATTCATCAAAATGTCATCCCCTAAGATCTTGTTTACATCACCACTTAAAAGTAAAATTCTTTAAAAGGAAAAGTTTTTCTTCTCTGAATAGTGTACAATTTTCAGACTAATGTTTACTTGAAAAGGCATGATTTTATATCATGAACTTAAAGAGTACATTTACCAACCTTTGTTATTAAGTGGCTTTTTAAATGTGAATATGACAATATTAATAATACCTCTATATGGATTATATAAAATTTATCAAATTTGTTTCACTTAGAATATTTAATATCCATATGTTTCTAAAAGGCACGCTTATCTCAAAAAAAAGATAAATTTACTATAATGCTAACATCAGAAAGTGATTATTTGCAAATATTTGATAATATAAAGATTATCAGGATGCTGAGAGCTCCTTGGGGTTGGGGACAGAAACTTTAAGCAAGGCTTTTGGCTTTTAAATGATCCCTCATCTTCTGAGTAATCCGGCAATGTCTTATGGACGTATATTGAGCTTAACACAAGTGAGTAAAAGTAAGCCAACTCTCAAAGAGCAACATTCACTCCTTTGGTTGCCACTCTGTAGAGAAAGGCAAGTGGAGTTGTCTGGTTTGTTTGAAGATTGAGATGGTGACATTACTTCTGGTCTAGGCTTAGTATCACATTTTGTGATTTTTCAGGCTCTTTCCTTTGTGAATATTTTACAAGCTATATACATACTTTAGACTTTCAGGAGCGTTCAACCTTTTGGCTTCTCTGGGCCACATTAGAAGAAGAAGAGTTGTCTTGGGCCACACATTAAATACACAAACACTAACAAAAATGGACAAGCAAAAAAAAAGTCTTTAAATAAATTTATGATTTTGTGTTGGGTCACATTCATAGCCACCCATGTGGCCCATGGGCTGTGGGTTAGACATCCCAGAGAGAATAAGGATTCATTGTAATGCCTTTTACTTCATGGGAGTGCAGTATAGTGGGAAGAACATAGTGAATATGGAGAACTGGTTTCCACCTTCAACACAATCACTACTGTGTTGTGTAACTTGGACAAGTAGTTCAGCTAACCTGGCTAGACTTTGGCCTGCTACCTCACCACAGTAAGTGGATTGAACTAGAAAACTCTTGTCTTGTACTGAGCTTTAAAAGTTCATCATCTCTCATAATGATGCCCTTAATTATGCCCCCTGATGATTATTTAATGAAGCATAGATTTTATCCTTGACTTTTACACAGGGTAGCCATGCCTCTCAGTTGGCCCGTATCTCCCTCATGTGTACCTGCTATCCCAGTATAATTATTATTAATTATATTCCTTTCTGACTCTTAAAAGCATCACATTTTAATCTATAAATTACATTTCACTCTCAGCATTTATTTATACAGCACATATAAAGCTGTCTTTGCAAGAAAATCATACTTTGTAAGAAAAATAAATAGTGAAGCCCTGTCCTCTACATTCCAAGCAGAAACTGACTGTGGTATCTTCACCTGGTTTCAGGAATCTATAGGTTTCTTTCATCTTCTTTTCATCTCATTTCAAAAATCTTAAGTAAGAAGAGCAAAGAAGGCTTTGAGAGAGTCTGGCTCTTGACTGGAGAGACTATGTTTGCAACTGTTGGTAGGAAATTAAACTATGGAATGGGGCCAAATCAGTCTGGCAGAAGTAATGCCTGCTTCAGCGTGGTTGGTAGGGTAAGAATATGGGTGTAATAATTTATAGTTTTAACTTGAATATTTCATCTAAAATATCACATGGTGTGCTTGAGTGTGAATATTGTTATGTTATAGAATTACATG